TTATTATTATTATTATTATTATTATTATTATTATTGTTATTGTTATTATTATTATTACTATTGTTGTTGTTGTTATTGTTGTTTTATAATTGTTGTTTATAATTTGTACAATTAACCTCCCTGTGGTTCGACCCCGGTCTTGCCGGGTTATTTATTACTTCGACACTCCTGCACTTGGGAGAAGACATCAATCTTTTTGTCGTGTCAGTATTCATCATTTAACTTCCATTAATCATGTTAAATTTAACTTCTTTTAAGTACTAATCATTATACAAAGCGTTATACAACATAAATCAAAATTAACCATTTAAGAAGCAAAGTATTAAGAGTGAAAAAGATATCAAATACAAAACATGTTAGTATCAAATATTAAAGTTTATGTTGAGTTTATACTATGCTTATTTTTACACCATTAGTATACCCTTTTCACCTTGACATAGTAAATTTAGCTAAACATATTGAAAGAAGAGAAACATAAATAAATAAGATAAGAACATAAATAAGATATAAGTTAACTAAGTAAAGGAAAGAAAATGAGAAACATAAACAAAAAATTAATATAGGCAAAACGTAAGCATTACAATAAAGAAAGAGCAATAACATATCTTGATCTGAAAATCAAAATGTCTAAATGCATGACAAATGCCTTCTTTTATAAGTCAAAATTGAGAACTATTGATTTTTTAACTAATTATTGAGTGGGTGGTCAATTCTTGACTTGATAACAATCCTTATTTCCTATCTGAATAAAACATCATTGCTAACATCAAAACTTAAACAAATTATCTTCATGAAAGTACTAGGAAATTGTCTTAGCTTTATAAAAAAAAATTTGGTGCATTTGGATTTTTAGAACTCAAGATATATGTTAAACACTGAACAGTGTCTAGACTGTAGGACAAAATTGAGAACTATTGATTTTTTAACTAATTATTGAGTGGGTGGTCAATTCTTGACTTGATAACAATCCTTATTTCCTATCTGAATAAAACATCATTGCTAACATCAAAACTTAAACAAATTATCTTCATGAAAGTACTAGGAAATTGTCTTAGCTTTATAAAAAAAAATTTGGTGCATTTGGATTTTTAGAACTCAAGATATATGTTAAACACTGAACAGTGTCTAGACTGTAGGACAGAGTGGGACTTCCCCGTTGTTGCTAAGATTTGGACTTTCAAATACCAGAATTGAGTCTTGTCTTCCTATGAAAGTTTTAGGCCCATGTCTTAGCTTTCCATCTACATAAAAGCAGACCTAAATCTAAGTTCTACAGCTCCAATTATGATCTAATTACCAAATAGTATTCTAGTTTGGATTGAACCAACATTTTTTTTTCTAAACTTCACCCTCTCTTTGTCTTCTCAAGTTCAGTAATTGAACTTATCAATCAATCCTTTGATTTTGTGATAGGTTTGTATTTAATATGAACATTTACTATAAATTAAAGGTATCTTATAGTATCAGACTTGTTATTATAAAAAATGCTTTAGTTGAAAGTAATTGATATTTCAAATGTAAAATCCTGATATAAAACCTTGATAAAGATGTACTTTTAAGTACTAATCACATGTCTTATAATTTTTATCTTATTATTTCTTAATACCTTACTTGTTAAATAGTTAATCTAGATTTATGTTATAGAACACTTGGTACAATAAATGCTTAATCCTTCATAGCCAACTGTATGATATAATCGACACCTGTACTATGAAAGGAACTAGATTGCTTTAGTTGAAAGTAATTGATATTTCAAATGTAAAATCCTGATATAAAACCTTGATAAAGATGTACTTTTAAGTACTAATCACATGTCTTATAATTTTTATCTTATTATTTCTTAATACCTTACTTGTTAAATAGTTAATCTAGATTTATGTTACAGAACACTTGGTACAATAAATGCTTAATCCTTCATAGCCAACTGTATGATATAATCGACACCTGTACTATGAAAGGAACTAGATTTGTTATTAACATGAGTTAGTATCATAAATTTCTAACAATATTTAAAAGTATTGGTGTTACTTAAATAAGATAACTAATATGATTATATTACTAATTTATTATGAACTATTAATGAAAAATTACTCGATTGGAACATCCTTTATGTATAGTTTTCAGTTGAGTAATAAAAAAATTTATATTATACTAATTTGAAATACTATTAGTGAATTCTCCAATTCTCAATTTTACACCTAATGTTAATTATGGTCCTTAGGTTTTCAATATTCTTAAAAAAACAAATCTGAATTTGATTTTTTTTTCAAATTAAGTACAAAAAAATATCAAAACAACTAAGCTATCCTTTATAATATCTTAAAAATCTCATAGTTAAATAACAAAAGAAATTTCCTGTTTCAAATTCTAAATAAATTCTAAACAAAATTAGCATGAAAGGATAAAATATAAAGTAAAAAGATTAGTAATACATGATAAAAGGGTATAATTTTAGTAAAATCCACAATATTTTGTAGTTGCTCTCTTAAGTATAATTATAATTAAAGATAATATTATTATTAAGTAAAAGATTTTCTAGATACGAGTTATTTTTATGCATTTTAAATCCAATTACGACTTGGATTTTGACTATTTTAAGATTTGAGAACTAAGAAATTGAATTTTTAAGTTTATTTGAGTTTAGCGTTGGCTTTTGATATTCAAATATTGTCTGAGAGGTTGAAAGTTTTGGGGTTGATTAGTGAAGGTGCCATTTCTTATCTAAGGTGGATGTATTAAAATAAAAAGAAATTAGGGGCGTTAATCCAAATAAGGGATTTATTAACAATTTAATATAATATACCGATTAAATTAATTGATGGCATTGAACTGCGTTTTCTACTACCCACCCGGGCGGACGTGTTAACGAAAAGCCCAAAAAGCCCTCCCTTCCCTTCCCTTGCAACACACTCTATTTCTTATTTGGTAGTTAGCAACATCTCACCTAGAAAAAAGAACAAAACCCTTATAGATCCAGCAGCATGCACCACAGCAAAATCTGCCATTTCCATTCCCATCTCTACTTTCCTCCTTTCACAATAGCTATTCCCAATTACCAATATTAATCATCATCATGGTAGAGACTATTGCATCCCCACTCACCAGTCGTTTCAATTACCAGAGGCTTGACCTTAAACGCTGCGTTCCTGCTTTTTTGTCTTCTCACAAAATTCTCTTCACTTTCCTTTGGATCGCTGCCTTCGCCTCCGTCTTTCTATGGCAACGCAATGCCGTCCGTGGTGGTTTTGTCGCTTTCTGGTTTGGACCCGTCCGCCCCATCCCCAAACTGCGTCCTGTGGCGTTCAATTTGACCGATTTTGGCGCCGTCGGTGATGGCATTACTCTAAATACCGAGGCTTTTGAGAGGGCAGTTTCGGCAATTTCGAAATTGGCCAGGAGAGGTGGTGGCCAGCTTAATGTGCCTCGTGGGAAATGGTTAACGGCACCGTTTAATTTGACTAGTCATATGACTCTGTTTCTTGCTGAGGATGCTGTTATACTTGGAATCCAGGTTACTCACTCCCTAACTCCTTAATTTATTTGCATAACCATAAATTTTTTAATCTCACATTCCTCCTTTTTTTAAAAAAAAAAAATTTGGGAAGTTTAATTATTATCTGTTGATGAAAATCTTTGGGTTTCTAGCTATATTAGGCTTGTAAATAAGGGATGACATATTTAAAAAAGAAAAACGAGAGCCAGTGATTTAGATTTGTAGACCAAACTACAAGGAAATGTTAGATTGCTGTGGTGGTGACTGGGGTTGTGGGAGTTGAGTGGTTTAATATCCAAAAGCGGCTATTTTAAGATTTTCCCACTTTCTCTATAAGGTTTATTCGTATAATAGGTTAGTGGTGTAATATAAAACACTCAAGTTTAATTAGTAGGTTTTCTTGTCGAATGTGGTTTAAGTAGGGTTAACACTGTTCAAGAGTAGTTGTTTAATGTATTATAATCTGTGATGATCAGCTTTTGGAGGGTGCTATTTCTATTTCTAGTTGAATGGAATTTATGTAGGACTGTGGATTAGTTTGAGTTGCTTGAGTTATATACTTGGAGGGATTTTTTTCTTATTTATGGTTGCGCGTATACATGAGTGAAGAATCATGAAGCACCTGAACTTGTAATAGGGTCAAAGAAATAATTAGAACTTAACCTTTTAACTGTCTCAAACCAGCTATTAGAATTGACCACTATGAAAATGGGTTGGTGTTGTAGAAAAGTCTTGGAATTGAATCTCGTTTACACTACTGATGGAGAGGATGTTACGCCTTGTTGTCTGAAGAGAGTATATTTAGCAAGTTCTATAATTATTGTGACAATGCATGGCCATATCCCTAAGCTTGTTATTGAAGCTTATCGTCCTTGGGAAGACAATAGGTTGCAAATATGAACTTTAAATTCCTTTTTCAGAATTCAGATCAGCCATGAACAGGTACTGTGAAGTTATTGAAGCTACTGCCAGATGGTCTGCACTATCAATTTGACAGCTTGCCAATAGTTGGTCTTCCAAATAGTTGGAAACTTAGGCAAACCCCTTATAGTTTTTATCAGAAGTTGCTTATTTAACTAGTTTATGTAGTGCCTGTTTGTCTACGTGGTTTGCTGCGTTTCAAACTAAAAGCATCATTTTTTATGCCTTTTGGCTTGAACTGCAGTTTTCACCATGCAGACAAGCGGGCCCTTAGTTTTAGAACTTTCAGTCATTTTATTTCATTTTTAGTGATTTAAAGTTATGGCTCATTTTAGATGCGGCCCCTTTTCTGATATTTGACAGGATGAGAAGTATTGGCCTTTAATGCCTCCATTGCCTTCATATGGGTATGGGAGAGAGCATCCTGGACCTCGATATGGAAGTTTAATCCATGGTCAAAACCTCAGAGATATTGTTATAACAGGTCAGTCAATTCAACTTCTATCCGAAGTATGCTCAGACCTTAGTTCTGGCTTTTAACTTTGAATGTGGAAGGACTCATGCAATGAATATCAGATGCACAGATATAAAGAGTGATCATGGAGATGGGCCTACAAAATGTTACAGAAGAAAACAAAGCAATTAAAATAAAAATGGAGAGTACAAAATCTACAAACAATCAACAGGGTATATAATTAATTGTTGTGGATCTGACTATTGACCAATCATATTAGCTGACCATTGGTTATTTTGAGTCATATTTAAGCAAAGATGATGCGTGCTATGACCATTTCCTGCAATATCTGGGCATCATCACATAATGTCATTGATTATGCTGCTTTTCCACCCAGAAGTGTCTTGTACAAAATAATAGTGGGTCTCTCTTTTTCCTCACAGTAGCATTTCTCTATGTAGAATTCTCAGGTACTTTAAGCTACAAGATAAATTGGATAGAACAGTCCCTTGGATATTAGATAAATTTGCCTCCATTTATTCCATGCCTATGTTTGGTGCCTTAAAAATTCCTCCACAAAGTAAGATGTGGCAAATAAAGACCTTCAACTTAATTGTTTCCCTTGTAATTCCAATTAATCACATTGCTGTTGATGAAATTCAAGCAATTTTGTCATATCTTGAATGAGCTGCAATATACAAAGCCCCAAATCAAACTGATGGCACCACTGTAGGAACAGTTAATATGATTGTCTGGTAGCAACCAATTATATGAAATTATGCATACTATTAGTTCCAGTTTGAACAATTCACATAAGTTGATCCGGAAGGTAGTTTCTAGCTTTGTTGTTATCATAGTGAACATTGAGTTCATCAACATTTATTATTTGAAATTGTTTTTTCCTTGACCGGGAATGTCCTCATCAAACATTTCTGCTGATCAACAGGACACAATGGTACCATAGATGGACAGGGTCAAACATGGTGGAAGAAGTATCGCCAAAAGCTTCTCAACCACACTAGGGGTCCCCTTGTGCAGATAATGTGGTCGAGTGACATTGTGATTATGAACATAACACTACGCAATTCCCCATTTTGGACACTTCATCCATATGACTGCAAGAATGTAACAATTAGGAATGTTACAATTCTGGCTCCCATTTTTGAAGCCCCAAATACTGATGGAATTGATCCTGGTAAATATTTCTGACAATTGTAGTTTTCTGCTACTGTAATTTGTTTTCCACTAGCTGACCCTACCTTTGATGTCAACTTAACCTCTAGAGATGATCAGCCTACTTACTAATATTTTGCACCTTGGATGAGATGCACTGCTGAGTTTTAATTATTATATATCAATGAAATGAAAGGGCTTAGGTTGGAAAAAGGGGTAGGAAACAATTAGTGTTAAGGTTGGATGTTGGAAACACAGTCCATTGAAGAGGGTTTGTTCTTTGTGTGCCCGTGTTTTTCAACTCACTAACAAGCTGGTCTTGGATGATAATCAGTGATACGTTTCAGATATTGAGGTAACAGGAAGACTGATTGCATGGAGCGAATATTTTTTTGGACTTTGATTTAAAACTTAGGATCTCAATATCATTCAACCTTTTACTTTTTATTTCTCTCAGACTGACTTCTTTCATGTGTGTAAGTGAGCTGGAGCCCCATGTACCGTTGTACTAGTTAATTTTGTTTGTTTTTGTTGTCATCTTGTTTTCTTTATTGATGTAGGACTATGATATAACGCTGCATGTTAGTAACTTGGAGTGCTTTATCTCATATTGACTGGCTAAACTTCAAACCCCTTGAAATCATGTAGGTTGTGCCATGGAAACATCTTTAGCAAAGTTTTTTTCTTTTTTGTTCAACTGAAATGCAGTTTTGAAGATTGTTCACAATTTGTTCTTGCCATACTGAATAATGTGAACTTCAATTTTTTTGGGATAAATAGATTCATGTGAGGATATGGTAATTGAAGACTGTTACATAAGTGTGGGGGATGATGCAATTGCAATAAAGAGCGGATGGGATCAGTATGGAATTGCATATGGACGACCTTCAACGAATATTCTCATCCGTAATCTTGTAGTTCGCTCCATGGTTAGGTAAAATATCTTAATAATTTGCTTCTGACTTGATGGATATCTTTTCTATTCTTGTTCTTGTAAGCTCTAGAACTAGCATCCTTGTGTGTCTTCTACAAATCTTTGGGCCCAAACATTATTCTACCATGTCTTCTCTAGGCATCTCCCCTTGAATGATTAGAACCTTTGAATGTGTAAATACAAGGCCAGTTTGTGGAGGATATATATATATATATAATTTCACCCATTAGAATATTATAGAGGAAATGTGCACAAGTGGAGGTGCATGATTTATTCTAAATTGTACTTTTTTGGTTTACAAATATTATATGTAAATCGATAAATTTGCTCTTTTTCAGAACTTTACTACTTAGGTTGCATTTGGTATAAAGTGAAAAATTTGGAAGTGAAATGTTGAAGGAGTAAAATTTCAGGGGAAAGTGTGAAGGGTGTGAAAATTATTAAAAGATGTTTTAATGATGTTTAGTAAGAGTTGAAAAAATTATGGATAATGGTGGACCCTAATATATATAAAATTGATTTTAAATTAAATGTGATTACAAAAAATAAAATAAAATAAAATAATAGCATGCATTTTTGATTTAAAATAGAAATGGAAGAATAAACAAGAATAAATTAATTTTAAATTAAAAAAGAGAGAGAAGGGCATAAAAACAAAGAATTTTCACCCAAGGTTTTACTTAACCATAGTTTTGAACATTTCAATGGAAGGAAGTTACCACAAGCAAACAAGGACCATTTCCATTAAAAAAGAAATATGATTTGAGGTGCTATTACTACTTTTTTTTCAGCAAGTTGATGCAAAGGAACCATGTTTTTTTTTGTTTCTATGTAGGAAAGCAACTGATGATTCCTTAATGCAATAGCCTATCTGGTAATCTTGAAGGAACTTTTGTGTTGTAGATTCTTGAATGAACCGTTGTGCTGTAGATTTAACCTTTGTGGCTTTCAGCCATGTTAAAACTTCACCCAAGAAACTGCCGTGAAGCAGGATAACTCAGTCATGGTTGCTAGGCAACATGCAGTTTGAATGATTTTGGACCCTAGCTGACTTGTGCATTTAGGCTTTATCCACAATTACTTGTTTCATATTATCATTTATTAGGTTCTCGGCACCATTTAGCTATCTTAGCTTGCCATAAATGCACGTGTTTTTCTTTAGATGGCAACTGAGATCCACCCTGGCTGAATTTTGTATTAGTGCCGGCATATCAATTGGCAGTGAGATGTCAGGTGGGGTATCAAGTGTTACCGTGGAGAACCTCCTTGTTTGGAGCTCAAGGCGTGCAGTTCGGATCAAGACTGCCCCTGGAAGAGGTGCATATGTTCGAAATATAACCTACAGGAACCTGACATTTGACGATGTAAGAGTTGGAATTGTTATCAAGACAGACTACAATGAACACCCTGATGAGGGTTATGATCCAAAGGCTGTTCCAACACTCCAGGACATAAGATTCAGTGGAATCCATGGCCAAGGAGTTCGTGTGCCTGTTCGCATGCATGGGAGTGAAGAAATTCCAATTAGGAATGTGACTTTTCAGGATATGTCAGTGGGGTTAACTTACAAGAAAAAGCATATATTCCAGTGCGCCTTTGTTCAAGGTCGTGTTATAGGGACGATCTTCCCTGCTCCATGTGAAAACCTTGATCGATATGATGAGCAAGGAAAGCTGGTTAAGCTCTCTGTCTCCCAAAACATAACAGACATAGATTATGATTTTTGACACGTCAACACATCTCAACTCCCCTTAACCTTTCTGAAGGCCAATGACATTGTATGATAGGTATGACTCTATCATACAAGCCAGACAGATGACGTTGGAGCAGTTCAGGCTTCTTCTTATGGTGTTCCAATTTTATTGCTTGCTTCATTTGTATATACAGATTTTCATACATTTCTAAGGTTTGTGAAATGCATAGCATTACAATTACAAGAAAAACTAAATTGTGTGGTTGTTCTACTGTATATGACAAGCACTATGAGTGCTCTCAATGATTTCAATTGTTTTTTTTTTTTTCCTTCATTTTGGTGGGTGAACCTTTTGTTTTTCACCGATTGTATCCTTCCATGTTTTTTTTAGGACGACCTCTTCTAATTGAATGTTCTTGAGGATTAAAGGTGTGAATTAGATTTCTAAACTTGATTAGATGCCAATTTAATGACAGTTTTAATTTGTATTGTGAAGACAAGTAAAAGATAAAAACAGCTTGAGAACCAAAAACAATCAGTGTGGCGTATATGAAGTTCACGCTAAAAAGTGCTCTTTTGTTGACTGCTATTGTTTTTTCCAGTAAGCTTAAGCGTTTTAACTTTTAATGCAAAATTTTATTTCGTGCACCTTTCATTCATTTAGATGAAGAGATGATAGAGATCACCAAAAATTTGATGATAGAAAAAATAGTTCTATGTTAATGAGTTAGAAGTTTTATTAATGTATTTTCAAATCTTTGTATTGTTAAAAAAAATAGATTGGTATGAGAATTTCTATTTATTTATGCTGATTTTTTTATATTTTGAATGATTAAAGGCTGGTATGAGGATAAAAATGTTTTTTCATGTATTTAGGGTGTTTTTTTTTTTATATTTTTAATTAAAAACAAAGTTGAGAAAATGATTTTTTAAACCCTAGAAGTTGGACCATGACTTTTTTCTTTAATGCTCATTTTTGCTTTAGGCTAACCAGTGCATTTTCTTTTTTCAATGATTGAAGATGTATAACTATTTTATGGCAATTATAGCCTCTATTTCTACCATGATTATAAAAGCTTTGGATCTACTCCTTTTATTTAATTTTACCTCTTTTTTAGTTTAATAAATTTAAGTTTATATGACTATATTTTAATTCAAGTCTTTTTACTATCATATGAGTTTTTTTAAATAGCAATATATATTAAATTTTAAGTAGCCTCGTATTTGCACCTTTAATACAACAATTCTCATTGTTATGATATGACCAAGGCAATTTTAAAGTTGTGTAAGGGTATTTCATGTCTTTTGGCTAAATGTACTTGTAAAACTTGGAGTACTATGTTGTTTAGGGGTGCTTGGCCGTTTTTTATATTCGGCTTGTTTTAACTCGCAAGTGCACGAGTGTGCGATGTAGCAATTAACTCGGTAAGATCGAGGTCATATCCACAGAGAGCTAGATTTAGAAACTAAGCTAGGTAACAAAAAAAACTCAAGAGAAATTAAATTAATAATAACTTGGTTGAAAATAATTGATGGATTTGTTTTGAAAGATGAAAACGTGTAAATAGATTTTAAATGATAAGAAAAAATAAATCTTGGTGATGTATTGGTGATTCCTTCAAGATATATAAGATAACTCAACCTAATATCAACGATGATGATATTAGATCGGAAGATATTACAATGAAGTTTAAAAGGATGAAGATTGATTATTGCTTAAGAATGAACAAGTACTTTCATATTAAGTAAGACATTGAATCAAGCAATCTCTATACCAAAACTAAAGTTTGTGCATAAAAATTCAAGATTATAACATTACCTAAATGGTTTCTAAAATTTCTTTGCAATAATAAATCATTCATGAAGAAAATGAGAAGATAAACATTAAGATTCATTCATATCTTAAAGAACTCACCTTAACCACCATCATCCTTGATTTGGATCCAAGAAAGAGATTAGCCAACCATGATTATATATAAGAACACTTCAATAAACATGAAATAACTTGAATCAAATTGAAATAATAAGTTTTACAAGCTAAAGAACCGAAATCTATAAAGAAGAACACAACACAATTTCAGTAAAAATTCGGACACAAATCTAATGCTAACTTTGGACAACAATTTAGACCCTCTTCGAAGCTTCCTTTGGAAAAGTCTATTAGAGACATATTTATAGGAAATTCTGTCACCTTTCCAGATCATTAAAGAACAGCTCATTTGGACACCTGAGTCAAACGTTATGGGCAATACACACCGAAAGGTGTTCTGAAAAATTAAATCAGGCCAGCTTTGCAACCACTTTGGTGCATGTTTTTCTTCCTCATTTATGAGCTGTCTCTTTCTTCTTTTTGACCCAAAATAACATAACAATGTCCCCTCCAGCTTTCCATCCATGTGTTTGCCTTCTTGGATCAATGGATTACCCAAATAAATCAATTGTTATTTGTTGTGTGGACATGTAAGATCATGGATTGTGCTTGAGCTGATTTGAAGGTTGATTTGGGGTTGATTTGAGGTTGATTTGGGGCTGAATTTAAGCATCAAATAAGTATACAAATGTACCTATTATTTGGGCTAAAATTGACATTGAAACCTTGAGTGTTTAATGGTTGAATTTTGCACACAACATAAGGCAAGTTTGGGCTTGAAATAGATCATATGATATTCTTTTCTAGAATTGGAATAGAATTGATTTGGGACAAATTTGAAGCACTTATTTGAACCAAGATTTGCTTCAATCTTCAACTAAATGTCTCTTCAATTCTTTGTTCTGAATTCCGACGTTGAATTTTCTTAATTAATTCATTTAAGCTCCAAAAACCTATCGAAACTTTAAAACAAACTTCATTACTAAAAAGCACATCAATTATTATAAAAAAAACCAAATAAAAACAATAAATACATATGTAAAATAAGAGACTTAATGACACTTTTGATGCACAATCACACCCCCCAACTTAGATTTTGCTAGTCCTCAAGCAAAACAAAACATAAAACCTTTGAAATAAAAAGAATAATAACAATCATAATTAGGCTCGATTCATCACACTTGAAGGACCTATCATGCAAACATTGTATCTTTAACTTAGTGTACACAATAGCAAATAAAGAAAAATAAGCATACTCACATTCTCTAAATCAAACATCCATACAAAATTTCCAAATTCAATCATATTTATCGTGCAACCAACATAATTGATTCACATGAAAACTCAACTTGTAATCTTCCCTTCTCACCAGCACAAACAAGGTAGCAAACTAGAGAAATATCTATATATATATTTTTTCTTTCTTTCTTTCTTTTTTCTTCTTTTTTTTCTTCATCTTTTTTTTTCTTTGAAGATATGATTTATTCTATCTTTAAGTAGTCACTTCCCTTTTGACGCGAATACAAACATTTGTGATGAATGCACCCGGTTACTCACAAAGTCACAAACTTAAAGTGCTTTGCATACTCATATTTCAAGCTGCCGTTTGACGTAAAGATAAACATTTGTGATGAATACCCCTAGTTACTAAGCAACTCAAAACATTGGAGTAGATAGAACTTTGTACACATTTATTTATTTATTTATGTAATAATTATTACTCTATTTACTTAAACCTTGTTTAGGACTGAATCAAAAGGGATAATCACAAGTAAAACATCATACTCATCTTTCATGCATAATCACACAACTCACACAACTTTTACAAGGAAAGATGTACTTCAGTAATCTTAAAAAAAAGTATGCTATATCTTGTTTTATAAGATATTATCTATCCCAAATTAAAGCATGCAATGTTCAACATAATAATGAATCCAAAAATGTAATGATGATCCTAAACAAGTCTCATTCACATATGAATGCAAGTTTTATGTTTTTTAACAAGCATGGTTATCTCAAGCATTCAACATAATGAAATATCTAAAATTAAGTTTTAAATTATCCTCAATGTAAAAGAGAAAGAGAAGAAAAGTATAAAGATTAGAAAATTGTTACTCCCCTTCTATTTTCAAGGATGAATGTCTGATTGAATTGAGCATGAGCTGACTTCTTGCTTGATTTTTTTTTTAACCTGCATATCACAACTAAAAGAAAACATTGATATTTTTTTTTGAAAATAAAGAACCTCACACCCCCCAACTTAAAATAATATATTGTCCCGAATGCATGAACAAGAAAATATAAGAGATGGAAGAAAGAAGAAAAAAATAAAAATAAAAATAAAAATAAAAATAAAAATAAAAATAAAAATGAAAAATAAAAATAAAAACTCACTATTTCTGATACTACAATGGTAATGGATCTTCAAGATCCAATGTCTCAACTTCAGCCACAACGTTTTCAAGATAAGGTTTCAATCAATGACCATTTACTTTGAAAATATTTCCATTCTTGGGATTTTCTACCTCAAATGCACCATGCTCATAGATGGATTTAATCACAAATGGACCAATCCATTTTGTCCTCAACTTCCCAGGAAAGAGATGTAATCGTGAATTATACGAGAGAACCTTTTGACCAACATGAAAGGATTTTCTAAGAATATGTTTATCATGCAAAGTTTTCATCTTATGTTTTGAAATTTTTGCATTTTCAAATGCATCATTTCTCAGCTCCTCTAATTCATCCAATTGAAGCTTTCTATTTTTGCCAACCTCGTTTTCATTGTCATTGAATTACTGAATGGCCCAATATGCACGGTGTTCAATCTCAACAGGGAGATGACAAGGCTTTCCATAAACTAGCCTATAAGGAGACATTCCTAAAGAGGTCTTATAAGTAGTGCGATATGCCCACAAAGCATCAACTAGTTGTAGGGACCAATCTTTACGGTTTGGATTGACTATTTTCTCTAAAATGTTCTTGATCTCCCTATTTGCCAACTCAGCTTGGCCACTAGTCTGTGGGTGATAGGGGGTACTGACCTTGTGAATTACACCATATTTTCTTATCAAAATCCCAACGGGCTTGTTACAAAAATGTTTTCCCTCATCACTAATCATAGCCCGGGGCATGCCAAAACAAGAGAAAATATTTTCTTTCAAGAATTTGACCACAACTCGATGGTCATTGGTTCGAGATGCAATGCCCTCCACCCATTTAGATACATAATCAACAGCTACAAGGATGAATTGGTAACCAAATGAACTTGGAAAAGGTCCCATGAAATCAATCCCCCAACAATCAAATATTTCCAAAACAAGGATGGGGTTAAGGGGCATCATGTTACACCTAGTGAGGCTACGTAGTCGTTGGCATCGGTCACATGCAACATAGAAGGCATGAACATCTTTAAACATGGTGGGCCAATAAAAACCACACTGCAAGATTTTGGC